GTGGTGGGGCGGTGGGGGGGGGGTTAATTACATGCAGAATTTTTCCTGAAAACAAAGTATAACGAATAACAACATCTGTATTGTGGCAAGTATAGCAAGCAAACATCATCAAATGTGCTTCGCGTTCATGTCGACCGGCAAAGTGGCGTTCGACAGTTGCTGAGACACATCTTAGAAGTTTCTATTACGCCGTCAAATCTAAACACGTCAAAGGGAGGAGAGCTTTTTGTACTCCGCAAGAGCGGGGGACAAACAACAAGTTATTTTTGGCACATCACTCGCAGGTGTGCGCGGATCTATTCGCGGTTTCTCCTGGCGTGCGCGCCAACCAGTTCCAAAGGCATGTGCCGTCTTTTTTTTGTTTCAGTTCATCGACAGCGACGAGGACAACGACGGCTACGTGGACACGGACGAGGAAGTTTCCAACGGCAGGCTGCATCTCCTGAACGGCGCCGGGCCACCCTACTTCCACGGCTACCTCTACATGAAGAGTTAGTAGTGTCATCAAATCCCAAAATGCCACATCAGAAGCGTTTCGAAAGGCTCGACGGCCTTTAAATAGAAGACGTACCACCTAAAAAAATACTTTGATCGAAATGAATGTTTAAATACAATGATTCCCCCAAAGTTATTTAGCACAATAAAAATATTGAGACGTGTTTGCAACTACAGAATAGTGAGTAGATCAGTTAACAGTTGCCCGGCTAACATTGCCATCTTCCGTTTCCAGGCGGCCTCATGATCCCGTGGCGCCGCCGCTGGTGCGTGCTCAAAGATGAGACCTTCATGTGGTTCCGCGCCAAGCAGGACTCGGTCAAGTCGGGCTGGCTTTACAAGAAAGGTGGCGGGATGTCCACGTTGTCGCGGCGAAACTGGAAGATGCGCTGGTTCGTCTTGCGCCAGAACAAGCTCATGTACTTTGAAAACGACAGCGAGGAGAAGCTCAAAGGGACCATTGACGTGCGCACGGCCAAGTCAGTCTATCGTCATGATACATATGGGTTTTTTTTTGGGGGGGGGGGGGTTGCAGAGCTTGATGTGTGTTAAACTCTGGTTCCCCGACAGGGAGATTGTGGATAATCATGAGAAGGAAAATGCGCTCAACATTGTCACTGAAGAGAGGACTTATCACATCTATGCCGAGTCTCCAGAAGATGCCAGGTACTGCTTACATGACAAATCCTGGAATTTACACTGTGGGTCAAAGTAAGGATTTATCTGCGATGTGCCTGTCATCGGCTGATATTCACTCTTTTAAAATCGGCAAAAAATTTGCTGAAAATTGGCAAAAAATGATTTTTTTTTTTTTTAAACACAAAATCAGCCGATTTTTGACGATTTTCTCTCTGTTGTCGAGTTAAACAAAAATACTGAATGTCAAAGTATTGTAAAACAATCAAACGTTCTGCCTGTAAACCATACGGTTATATTTGTCAGCATTAAGGGACCCACCAAGAAGTTTTGGGGTTTTTTTTTTCGTTCATCTGACGATTAATCGGTTATCCGGATTTTACTCTACCAAATATGAAACTTGCCATCGGCCTAAAAAAAAATCCATATCAGTTAGACCCAAATCATGAGTACAAGTAAAAATAGAGAAATAAATGCCCAAGTTCAGTACCCCCCCAAAAACGGGCTTTAGTACAGTAAGTGTTTGTACGTCATTATTGCCCACCACTGCAGTATAAATGCAGTCTCACTGTCTTCGTAAAGTACGAAACTCAACTCCTCCCTTGTGGTTGCCAAAGGAACGTCATGCCATATCATTTTCCAATTAACTGGACTGATGTTTCTCCTCCCGGTTGACTTTCCTGTCCTCCCCGTGGTCCCGTCTAGCGGTTGGTTCAGCGTGCTGAGTCGGGTCCACAGCGCCAGTCCGGAGCAGCTCATGGAGATGCACCACGAACAGGCCAACCCAAAGAATGCTGTGGTTAGTGGTCTCCTGAAGCCGCCACCTTCACCACTGCCTCCCCAGACTGGGCCCCAATTTGAGCCCCGCTTCTGACCGACCGTCATCAAGCATGGATGAAATAAGATGTCGACTTTCAGAGTCATTTGAATTCCATTGCCGTGAAGCCTTGTTTGGGCCAGGGCCTTTTTTTTTTATTGAATCTAAAATGCATTCACAAAGTTAATATTATTTTAGTACTCTTCATTTTCCTGACCAAGCCAAGTTGTCTTCACTGTTCTTCTGTCTGTCCAGGGCACGCTGGATGTGGGCTTGATTGATTCCGTTTGTGCGTCAGACAACCCTGACAGGTAAGCATGGTCCACAAATTCAAATCGGGGTAGTACAGATACAATAGAATGTAGTTCCCCATACTGTAGGCTCATCCTGAACTATCGAAAAAAGTAAGCACAGAGATGAGATATTTATTGGGGGAAGGCCTTTAATTTAAAATTTGAAGAAATCATTTTTTTACATGCTGCATATTTTTCCCTTTTTGCCTGGCGCACATAAACTGAGTAAATGCTTGCATATACTGTGTAAAAAAATTGACATTTTGCTGTTTTGTTTTTTTGTTTTTTTGAGACCAAACTCATTTGTGATCATCACGGCTAACCGGGTAATCCACTGCAACACGGACACACCCGAGGAGATGCACCACTGGATCGGCCTGCTGCAGAAATCCAAGGGCGACTCCAGAGGGGACGGACAAGAATTTATAGTCAGGGGTAAGATGCAGAACTGAAAATATCAACAGGAATAACATGTCAATAATATCATGTTGTTGTTGTTGGGTTTTTTTTTTTCTCCCCGTAGGCTGGCTGCATAAAGAGATGAAGTCGGGGGTGAAAAGCACGTCTCTAAAGCTGAAGAAGCGTTGGTTCGTCCTCACCACCAACTCCCTGGACTACTACAAGTCATCCGAGCGCAGTGCTTCAAAATTGGGAACGCTGGTCCTCAATAGTCTGTGTTCTGTGGTCCAGCCGGATGAAAAGGTCTTCAAGGACACTGGTTAATAAATTTAAAAAAAAAAAAAAAAGAAAGTAAAAATTGGACAAAAGTTTAGAAGCAAACTGTTCCAAAAAAAAAAAAAAAATCTTTTTTTTTTTGTACTAAAAAAGTGAAATACAACTGAACTGCACTTAGCAAAGCTTTTGTGTAGCCCTTTTTGAAAATCCCAGCAGCGACTGAAAAAAAAAATGTCTCGTGGCCCCTATCGCAGGTTATTGGAACATCATCATCCACGGACGCAAACACTCTTACCGCCTGTACACCAAAATGCTCAACGAAGCCATGCGGTGGGCAAACGCCATACAGGGAGCCATTGACAGCAAAGTTCCCATCGAAACGCCCACGCAGCAACTCATTCGGGACATCAAGGTAGGCCTTTTGGTGCCTTAGCTGTTCTGCTTTCACTAACGCGTCACAGTGGCCCGATCTTAACATGTTTGAAAAAAAAAAAAAAAAAACCAAACCTCTTTTCAGTCATGCGAGTCTCTGGCAGGGACACGGTGTGTAATAAAGTGAGGTACTCACCGTGCGTGTTGTGAAAACATTATCGTTTGCCTCCGATGCACTGCGGTGACGTGTGTGTGCGTGTGCGTGTACAGTTCTGAGTTGGAGGCAATGCCGGCAGCACCGAGCCGCTCTTTTCCTCTTTCTTAGGAGAGCAGCTTGAATGTGGAGGCGGTGGAGCAGACGTACTGGAGGAACCCCATCCTGAGATACACTCAGCATCCGTTGCACTCCCCGCTCCTACCTTTGCCTTACGGAGATGTCAGCAACCACCGTGAGTCGCCGACTCTTCGATAAGACCCGTTTGTCATATGAACGACACGTACACTCATCCGTTTTCAAAAGTCGAACGCCCGCCCGAAATCCACTTTCAACGCTTGAAATCGATGCCAGACAACGAATCCACGTCTGTCTCTTCCAGTGCAAAAGGAGAAGGGTTACACCAGCCTGCAAGACGAAGCCGTGAAGATCTTCAACTCCCTGCAAGAGATGGAGGCGGTTTCGGACCCCGTGCCCATCGTGCAGGGGATCCTGCAGACGTGCCAGGACCTGAGGCCGCTCAGAGACGAGGTCTACTGTCAGTTGATCAAACAGAGCAATCACGTCCCGCACCCCAACAGCGCCTCCAACCGAGCCCACTGGCATCTCCTCACCTGCATGAGCTGCACCTTCCTGCCCAGCCGCGGCATCCTGCGCTACCTCAAGTTTCACCTCAAACGGTGCGACACACACTTGTCAACACGTGCCGGAAACCACCTCTGCTTGCTTGCTTGAGATCGGAGGGGGGGCGACTTTATGGCGGCAAAAATGGGGACAGCAGCAACATGGGAAAATGTGAAGCAGAGAGAACAACACCGGTGGCGCAACTGTTTCGAATTACCAAAATATCTCTCGTCCGTAGCGTTATTTGAGCATCAATGGAGTTTTAATGTCGGTGCCGTACGTATCCAGGACGTACTTATTTACAGTGTTTATAAAAAGTCAACACATTCTTGTTCAAATGCCATTTTTTTTTTCAGATGAAACTAAATAGCTTCAAAACTTTTTCCACCATTATTTATTGATTTATTTTGGGGAGAAGGAAACTAAAAATAAACCGATAATTTGGTTGCGCGCCTTTTTAGAACTCGGACTGTTTCTGATTTTTACCAAACACCTTCAAATTCATCTTCAATGACAATCAATGCACGCCATTGCCACTATTTCAAGTCATTCTGATTCGAACCAAATCGAATTCAGATGCTCTCGATTGCATTTTTTTTTATCCTCCTCCTGTGTGTGTGTGTGATTGTAGCATAAAGGAGCTGTTCCCGGGGACCGAGATTGAAATGTTTGCGCATTTCATCAGCGAGTCTCTGAAGAAGACCAAGACCAGAGAGTTTGTTCCCTCCCAAGAGGAAATCATCGCACTGCTCACTCGCCAGGAAATGACCACCACGGTCTACTGTCACGGGGGAGGCTCCTGCAAGATCTCCATTAACTCGCACACCACAGCCGGAGAGGTGCGGAGACATTTTCCAAATTGAAATCAGCGAAGTCTCCCGATGCCTACGTAGTCGTGACTTTTGTGGCGTGTTGTGGCTTAAGGTGGTGGAGAAGCTGATCAGAGGTTTGGCCATGGAGGACAGCAGGAACATGTTTGCTCTCTTTGAGCACAACAACACGATTGACAGAGCTGTGGAAAGCAGGGTCCTGGTGGCGGACGTGCTGGCTAAATTTGAAAGGTGAGGTGACCAACGTGCTAACTACTAGCCCACCATGCTAAAGATGATGAAGGACGTGACCATAATATTCCATTTTTTTTTTTACACATTATCACTAGACTTGCTGGCAGTGAAGAAGCTGAGAACGACGGCCTGTGGAAGCTCTACTTCAAACTCTACTGCTTCCTGGATGTGGAGAGCATGCCAAAGGAGGGAGTGGAGTTTGCCTTCATGTTTGAGCAGGTCAGTTTCACGGGTGTCAAAAGTTTTTGTTGTCACTTTACAGTTTGTATTGAGGGTTTCCCCTCAGAGGAATGTTGGAACTGTCAAACCTTGTACAATGACTGTACGTACGCAAGAGGAGGGCGACGTAACAGCATTGGTGTAGTACCGTATTTTCCACTCTAAAAGGCGCACTGGATTATGAGGCGCACGTTCAATGAATGGCGTATTTTGTCTTTTTTTTTCATATATTGGACGCACCGCATTATAGGACGCAATCTACAATGCATCCACTAGATGGAGCACGTTCAAGGAAATACCAACAGAACGATCAGATATCAGTAAAACGTATTTAATAAAACAGCGACACAGTGCACTTAACAGCACGTTATAACATTGACTCGTTAACGTTGAGCTCTCTTGCCGCTGCTCTATTTCCGTGTTCAACTGCGTAACCCCATCGCCTTAAGTTTGAACTCTGCGTTGTAAGCATTTCTCTGGAAAGGAGCCATTTTGGGGGTTGACATATTACCGTAATAACCATACACAAGGCGCATCGGATTTTAAGGCCCGCTCTGAGCTTTGAAGCAAATGGAAGGCTTTTAGGTGCGCCTTTTAGTGCGGACAATACGATAGTGTTTGGTGGAAAGGAATTTGTCACACGGGCTGAGGAACAATTCAGAAAACCCTGATCTGTTCACGCAGTTGGTCGCTACATGGACAAATAGAACGGAAAACTCGACCGTGTAAAGCGAAAGCCACGTATCAACGACAGCGAGAAATAATGGCTTCTCGGGGCCTGAGCTCATCTGAGGTGGACTGACGCCAAGTGGAAAAGTGTGCTGTGGTCTGGCGAGTCCACGTTTCAAATTGTTTGGGGGAAACGAGGGATATTGTGCCCTCGTCTTTTGATTGTATTCAGTTGAATATAGGTGGAGGATTGACAAATCGTTGCATTCTGACTGTGTTTACATTTTACACCACATGCCATGCCCTCTTTGGTGTCCCTTCAGGCCCACGAGAGCTTAACCAGAGGACACTTCCCAGCCCGCGAGGAGACTTTGCAGCACCTGGCAGCTTTGCGCTTGCAGTTCCTCCACGGCGACAAAACCCGGGCGGCGTGGAACCTGGAAAGCGTCTACCCCGTGGGCCGCCTGCGCGCTCGCATCTTGCAGTACACCAAGGTGAGCGCGGCCTCAGGGTCCGGTCAGACTCTGGAGCGGCGCAGGACCAGCTTCCTGGACGGGACCCTGCGGCGAGGCTTGAAGACGGGCTCCCTGAAGAAGCAACGCATGGAGGAGGAGCAGATGCTGGAGATGTGGATCAAGGAGGAGACGTCGGCCACCAGGGCGAGCATCGTGGAGAAGTGGTGCCGTCTGCAAGGTCTTCTCCAGCACCAAGCCATGCTCAAGTACATGACCATCATCAAGGAGTGGACCGGATATGGATCCACGCTCTTTGACGTGGAGGTAAGTGCAACGTTTGATGCAAAAGATCTTTGCGCCACCTCAACGCAAACACATATGCAAAGTGTCGCGACGTGGCTCATGAAAGTAGCAGCAGCACATTGAAAGAGAAGAGAGAAAAAAAAAATAAGCTTCCTGAGTGACTTAGAGTAGTTGTGAAACTCGTCTTTGTCTGTGTTTGCATGACTGTAATACACTGCCCCCTGGTGGCTAACCTGCACACAGCAGAAGGAGCCGCAGTGAATGAATCGCGGTGCACAAACTGTTGAATTCTTGATACCGACACTCATGTGAATCATTGGTCGCATCGACTTTTTCGCACCGTATCTCATATTTGTGTGCGCGCAGTGCAAAGAGGGAGGCTTCCCGCACGATCTTTGGTTGAGCGTGAGTGCTGAAAACGTGTCGGTGTACAAGCGAGGAGAGCCCAAGCCCCTGGAGACCTTCCCTTACGAGCACATCATATTCTTCGGCGCTCCGCAACCCTGCACGTACAAGATCACCGTGGATGAGAGGGAAATGTTCTTTGAGACGCCGCAGGTAACTCACGCGTACCGACGACAAGTACCCATGAGATCAATCGTTGGGATCGCCATGACTGTGTGGATTTCGTGCGATTTATTTTCCAGGTGGGTGAGATCACAAAGATCATGAAAGCCTACATCAACATGATCGTGAAGAAACGATGCAGCGTGAAGTCCGTGTCCAGCTACGGGAGCAACTGGATCAGATGATCGACGGGTGAAGGAGAAAGTTCAGAACTCTGCTGCAACTTGTTTGAGCAACCACGAGAGGAACAATTCAGCGCAAAAACAGAGATGGTGACAAGGACTCATCCAGTGATGCGTTTCTATGCGGGGGGGTTAATTGCGCCATTTGAAGCTTTGAATGTTGCTTGGAATCTGTACACTGGTCCCGTTTCCCATGATTTCAATTTTAGTTTAGCTTTTTATAAGCAAGGTCACGTTGACTTTGCTTGTTTCACCAAACCGTATTTCATAAATGTAGTACTGTACTTCCTCAAATAGTGACCCCGATTGTCATAGAGAAAAAAATAGAGCCAGACTTTTTTTTTTCCTTTTTAGGCTGATGCCAATATTTGGCAGAATAAAATTATGAGAACCGATTCATCGGATTATTAATTAAAAAAAATACATAAAGGACAAAATAACACCTTTTTCGGTGCCTCAATGCTTACAATAACGATATGAATTTTTTTTTTTTTTTAGAAGGAAGGAGTGTTAAATATCATTATGTTGGTCTTAAAATAAGAAACATAATTAGATGTCTTTATTTTTTTTTCCCCAACTGTCAGCCATAATTTCGGCCCCTGTATTCATTTGCCTGACTCTTTCAGACAAAACTCACCCCTGTCCGAAGTGACGTCAAACGGCCTTCGCGGCTTTGCACATTTAGATCATTACATTGTGCGGTTGGTGTCATCAGTGCCAGAGGCAATTGCGTACCAAAAAAAAAAGTGGCATGGGCTGTGAGTGTCGCGGTGTTAAACTGCAGGGAGGAACCAAGCCCTGCTGCGAATAGCAAAATCCCACAAGTACAGTAATAGACACCTTCCTGCAAAAAAAAAAAGCTCTACTTGCCACAAGATGGCGCCACAGCAATAATTTCTATACTCACTCGCCTCCAGCAATCAACCCAATTTGCAGTTGAGTCAACATCTTATGGCCACTATTTGAGGAAATATTGTATGCCAAATTGTTTCTTTAATTTTTTTCCGAGTGGACATTTTCCCCCTTTAATGAATGTTCTCCCTGAACGGAGATTCCCTCAGGTGCATGTGCGTATGTAACTGGGACAGCTTGCCTTACTGAGTGACTTGTTATGGCGCAGCCATGGCCTTTAAACTTCGTCCCCGAGTATGAAAGAAGCAAGTGCACCAAAGCGATGATTGAGATAGCCACTGCACTTTTGCCATGATACTAATAGCAGAATTAGCCTCCAGCGGTAGCTTCAGAGTGTATGTGCGTGTACACTCAAGTGTTTTTACTGTGTGTGTTTTTAGTCAAGGCTGGGGTATTTATTTATTTGCAGTACGGATGGACTTGAGAATAATCTTAGCTGCAGTTTTGCCAGTATGATCGAAATCGGGCGTGCACAGCACTCACAGGAAATGCGTACATAAGCTGTTCATGCGCTCAATTGCGTGCCTTTGTCTTTTTCAGCAATTGGCGGATATTAAAACTTGCTGACGTGTGTTGCCCTCCATATACGCCGGTATTCTCATATCTTACATGCCATTCATAATAATAATAATAATAAAAATGATAATAATCCAAACATATAGATTGAGTTTAGTATCCACCACATCCTTCTTAGTCCTCCTTTGCTGTATTGGCGTCGAACTGGTCAGCTGCCGGCGGCCTCACCAGACTTTTGATTGACGTTGCCATTGACGATGACTGTATCCTCACCTTTCCGATTGTTTTCCAGTAGAAACAAACTAATTTTTTTTTTAAATCTGCGGGAGGAAAAAAAAAGTTTTATATCAAAATTGTTTAAAGATGCTTTAATAAATTATTGTATTTCAAAAAGCCTCAATGTGTGTTTTATTGGTGTCTTCGTTTTATTTGGTCAGTCTGTGCATGTCGTTCCGAACATGAATTACATCAAAATGTCGTTCATGGATTTTCCAAAATTGATTGTTTGTTATTCTTTGCTGGGATATATTTTGGAATATTTATGATGAGGAATTTACAATGCACAAAATTATAACCATGTTCATTTTATGAACAAGGTTGTTTGAGCTTTTTATTTTGAAAATGCAGTATGTAAAAAAGAAATGAATAATGTACACTATTACAAGTGACGATTGAATTTATTTAACATTTCGTTTTTGTCGTATAGTGCCAAAAGATTTGATTGAAATGTGATTCATTACTTACAAAGAATACTAGAACTATTAGTATTACCGGTAATTATTTTCTGCTCTTGAGTCGTGTTTAATACACTACTGATACTCCAAAACACTACTACTACTTAATAACAATAATAATCATAATCATAGAAGTACTTTTATGATAAAAACTAATAAGATATATGTCGAGTTTTGCTTTTGTCTTTAAATTCAACGACACTGAACACAATCACATGTTGCAACGTAATAGAGTATCTTACTCGAACATTAAAGTTAACCGTGGTGAGCGTACGCTCGCTCACTCCTCTTTAGCGAACGCCAAATGATGACGTACCACCAAAGACGTTTCGAAACATTCGCTGCCGTTTGATGACGCCTCACAGGAACCAGTGACGCCATCCCTGCCCTCTCCTTAAACAGTTGGCAACCGTTAGCGACTGTACTTTATTTCCCGAGCATTTCACTTTACTCTCGTCCTCACGATGTGGACCTCCGACGGCGTCTTTCTTTTCCTTTTGTCCGCTCTCGTCGCCGCGCAGGAGCAAATATCGACGACTTCTCTTCCTGCCGGTAAGTTTTTGAACACACTTTCAACTCTTGTAAGTTTTTGGACACACTTTCAACAATTGTTGTCGCCCTTTTTTTGGTCACATGACAACAGTCCAATGTGTTTTGTCTGTTAGCTTGATTTGCTAAAAATCGCAGGGGTGAAAACAAGGGATTTTGTTTTAGCTCAAGCGACTATGTATAAATATATCGATCTATATACAGCATATATTATGGTCACACTCGGCTGTTTTCTCTGTTGATTGCGATACAACACGGCTTAAGTTTAAATCACTTGCAAAGTTTGAGCTTTATCCCTCCTATACTGTACATACTCTACATGTCGTTTCACATTTTTTTCAGCCCTACCCATTAATCCGCCCATGGCTCCATAAATCATGTGACCATCTTATTTAAAAAAAAAAATTAAAAAAAATGGTCGAAAACATTCTCAACTACCATAGTAAGTAATTTTTGTATTCATGATTTAAAGTACATTAGAAATGTTATTTTAAAAATGACTACTGTAATACATCTTTAACAGCTAAAGTAATGCATCACAATCTATCAAAAGCATTCTCCAGTTACACAAAAAAATATAACCATCAGTGCCAGTGAAAGCAAACGAACAAAGCATTTTAGAACATCTGCAATTTGTTTGGGGTAAATCAGCTGGCACTGAACCTTTTGTCTAGGTAGAAGGATTTATGAACAGCTCAAAATAGCACTCGGTGTTCGCACAAAACCTTCAGGCTTATGTTCGAAAGCCCAAAGAAGTCATGAAAAGCCTACTAGAACATCCGAAATGGATTTGGGGTAAATCAGCTGGAACTGAAGTGGTAGTCGGGGTCTAAACAATTACGAACTGTTTGAAATAGCAGTGTAAGCACAAAACCTCAAGCAAAAAACAAAAGCAACAAACCATGGATGTCAGTAAAAGCCCACTAGAACCTGCGACCTTTATTTGCGGCTTATCGGATGCACTTTCAATGCTTGAGTGTGTTTTGTGTCAGTTGCAGTGTCGTGCGCCTCCAAGTCCAACAGCAGCTGTGCAGAATGTCTGCAGAATGCCTCTGTAAGTGTGCATGTATTTCATAAAAGTCATGTACCGTGCTTCACATGAGTTTGATTGCGTTACGTTTTGCGTGTGCCTGTTGCTGCAGTGTTTGTGGTGCGCGCCCAGCAAGCAGTGCCTGGACTACCCGGTGAAGAACATCCTGCCTCCGAAAAGCGTGTGCCCCTTGAGTGACGCGAGATGGGGCGTATGCTGGGGTAAGCCGCCCAGCACGCTGCAATTAGGCTTGACACGCGTGTTGCTGACATGTGATGAGTAAGAAATATGTCATAAAGGTGACCACTTTTATTTCATTTGTTTTATAGTCATTACATTTCTATTGGGATTTTTTCCATTGTTTTTTTTTTTTTTTATTGTTTTTAATTTGTACTTTTTATTCATGTTTATAACGCTATTTTTCATATTTTGGCGTTTGCAAACTGAGACGTGATTAGTTGTTGTTTGAGCCGCAATATTAATCCGAATAACATGTTGAGATGGGGCGCACGGGTCAGATTATTGTAATAATAAAAGAAGACTTGACTTCCTTTTGAAATCGTATTGTCAGTTTTATGAAATTTTTGCGTGAAAACTGCTTTTATTGGATTGAGAGTGAGCTGTCGCTCCACGTAATCACTCGACGGCAACCGTCTAGTGGGATGTGAAACGCTTTTTCCGTTTTCTGCTGCCTAGTCAACTTCCAGACGGTGATGATTACGCTTAGTGTGCTGTCTGGCCTTTTGGTGCTGGGCCTCCTGGTGTGCTGCCTGTGCTGCTGCTGCCGCCGCCGCCGCCGCCAGCGAGTCAGGTGAGTCATGTGACTGCATGGGGGACGACAATGGCTCATTATACGTTGGGGCTGATACGACCCGTCTCCAAAGGCCCCGCTGCGCTCTACGCACTGTTCCTCACACTATCAAACCATGAGTGCTCAAATGTTTTTTTCGTGTTTATAAAAGAAGATTTAAGGGCCATTTTCACTTTTTTGGGGGGGCTTTATAAAACAAGTGGATTCTCATTTTAGAATAAATGACAAATGTTTTTTGTAAAAATAAGAACTTAAAATTTACCAAGATCTAATGGATAAATATGCTGGTATGTTAACATCACTTGCCTAACTTAATGAAGCCTCAACCATGTATGGCACTCTGGTGCTCGGCCGACCTGTTCAGGTTTATTTAATCGTTCCTACCAAAATAATGAATCACGATTAGAATTGATCCAATGGTGCAGCCCTAATTCACTTGCATATTTTCTTTATCCTCTTCAAAAACACTCCTTTCACTACAGCTTCCGGAGTAGTAGTTGTGAAACTCTTCTTTGTGTCTTACGTACGTCTGTGTTATACTGCACCCTAGTGGCCAAGGTGCACACAACAGAAGAACAATGTCAATGGGCACTGAAGCGTGAAAGCCCGATTCACACACTGTTTCATTCTTTACATTTTACTTATTTATGTATGTTGTAATGAAATACAGCACTGTCCAGTGCTATTTTGCTTATCGCACGTGTTTTTGGGTGTCGGATTTTGGACACCCTGGTACGAACCCCAAAACACCACATGCTTTTGCAATCTTATCTTGTAGTGATGACGACGAGGATTTAAGGGCGGAGCAACAAACCCGTGCGAGGACCGCCCGTCAGAAAGAAAGGTAAATAAATGTCCATTTCACTAAGTACATACACTTCCACGCGGCCAAGGCCTGTTTGTCACTTTTGTGTTTGTTTCTGTCATCACAGGAGGATGGAAATGCAGCTGAGGCATGACAAAATACGACAGAAATATGGTCAGGCCTGTTTAGTTTGCCAAATTTGTTCTTTCTCTAGTACACCAGCAATGTTCATTTCTCAGAAGACAGTGACGCGTATGAAAGCAATAAAATACATGAAAATACAAACAAAACCCCCGCCCACAAAAAAACTAAACAATAAAAAATAAATAAATATATACTGTATATATATTTCCTATTCAAAACAAATTAATGATGACACCTTTAAAAATGATCACTTAAAACAAAACAACTATGAAAAAGGATGCAAAGAACATTAATAAAATTAATAAGTCTTCTGAAAATGTAAAAAAAGAACGTTTAATGTTTTTTTTCAATTGTCTAAAATGTTTCTATTTTATACAACATCAAGATAATGTAATATTTTTTAAAAATACACAAAAAAACTACCAAAACTTAAAAACATTTTTTTAAACAGTCATATGTATTTGAAAATATAAATCAATTTAATAACACTTTTCAAATAAAGAAACAAAATCACAATAAAATAATTGCGTAACAGTAAAACATTATGCACATTTTTCTTAACAGAGATAATTAATATTTTGTTCCAATTTCTTCCAAAAATGTATATTGTCATTTTATAATGGGTCAGTGCTCACGAACCATAATACAATCAGATTTTTTTTTCAGACGTTTCTTTTTCTTTTCTGAAAAATGTTCTCCGTGCTCCAAGGGAAAGACAACCTCATTTAAAAACGTAGAGCATTAAACGAGCCTGTAGTGCCCTCTCTTGGTCTTAAAAAAAAACCACAAAACAAAACACAATTTGAGGATTATTCAGAGGGCGCAAACTGAAAATATATCGTCCATTGTAAATTCCCGAAACGTGTATTCATTCAGTTTGTGTGTTCTCATGATGCTTTTCTTTTTGCAGGCCTTTCAAAGGATAATCCCTACTCTCGCATGGATGAGAAGAAATAAGTGCCCTGGTTTATTCTTCGTGTGAATTACTCCACCGTAGAGTAGCGGCTGTCTTATTTGAAGTGAGGCATCTATTCAACTGGAGACCACAATTTAAGAATGTACACTCCCGATTTAACCTGAACATAAATCGTATCCTTAACTGTGATCTTTTCCTTTGATTGTATTCATGTTTGTGCCCTCCTACCCCCCCCCCCAAAAAAATGTTTCTGAATGATATGTATTCTTACCATTTTAATATTTTTTGGGTCTTACCTTGTTATTTAGACCATTGCACTATTGACTGAGTGAACTCATTCCAGCAAGAAATGGCGACTTGTGTTTGAAACGGCAGTATTTTCACAGTGCTCCTGTTTGTTCTATTTATGTCTGCCCAGTTGTAACATGAAATAATACGTGTCTCTGTTAAGAGCATGACGTTCCACGTGTGAATTTGTTTACACCCCCATGTCATTATTACCCATGTGAAAATAAAATGGATGGTTTGTATCAAGTTTTTGTTGCGTTTTGCACTGCTCCGAATTTCCAACAAGCTACATTTCCTGAGCATCATGCTACATTTCCTGAGCTAGCCACACGTAATCCAGATGTAAAACTTCACTGAAAGGAAATCCTGTTGAATTTTTTTCTGTTCCACCACACCCTCACTTTTGACTTGTCTTCAAGCCGTACCACCAAACCAACGGTTTCAACACCCAGATTTTTCCAGACAAAAAACACCCACACTTCACAATTATTTTTAGACACCCACACTTATCCAACCCCAACAATTCTCCAGTCAAAAGACTTCTACACCCAGCACTTCTCAAGATGAAACATTCACAATTATATATTTTTTAAAAAACACTTTTCCAACCCCAAAACTTTTCAGTGGACTTTTACACCCACAATTTTGAAGAAGTTTCAATACCCACAATTGTGCCGGCAAGAGGTTTCAACGCACACACTTTTCCAAACACACTTTTCAACACCCTGGCTTTCACTGTTTGCGTTGAAACAATTTACACCCACCCACACTTGAAAGTTGCCAACGCTGTTTTAATCCCTGTTTTTCTAAGTTTTTTTTTCACCCTTCCCCCGATTTAATCAACACCGCTACTCTTCTCCAGTACATGTACTTTTCGAGACAAAAGGTTTCAATGCCCATACTTTTCCAGGAGAAGTTTCAACACCCACACTTTTCCCACTAGATGTAGCAGTAATTCATCGTATACTGTCGTGGACGCGCAAGGCCCCCCTCAACGGCCACGCGCAAATCGCCGCGCTCGCTCCCGCGAGCAGAGGCCCGCCCAGCCGATCGAATCACGTGACCCCCGTGATCGAATTACAGTTTAAATTTCGGTGCGCGCGCCTGCCGCACACGAAAGCCGAAGACGGTCGATAGACTGCGGACTCTTCGCCGCGACTGAAATAACAGTCAGTCTCCTCCTTCGATTCACGCGGGCCTGCCGCCTCAAACGGGCAAGAATGTCGGACGAAAAGCCAAAGGTGAGTACTGTACACCTACCCCTCCCCGTTGGGGAACCGGCGGGTGCTAAGCTAATCGGTTAACACGGGATGCTATTGCTAAGCTAACGGCGAGCTAATCGGTTAGTACAGGATGCTAATGGTAAGATAGCGTCACTTCCACGGCAGGGTCAGGACGGCGCATTTGAGCGCGGAGGGAGGGAGTGGGAGCTAAAACAAAGGTTGGTACATTCGGACAATTTATCGAATAAATGGACAAATTTGGGCACATTTTCTGATAATTTTACACTACGACCGTGTGACCTTATGTTGATACTGCGCGTCCTATTCCTCTTGAGGCGCACTTACACCAAATCCACACTCCAGCCCGCTCCTTTCGTTTGCGCCATTGTGGCTTTCTGCGCCAGTTCCAACTCGGGCTAGCTCGACATGCTAACCGAGCACGAATAGCGTAGCCGGCTGGAAAGATACAAAGACACTCCTTTCCCTCGCTATCCCTTGATTTTAATCTTGAAACTGACGACTTCTGTTGTGTCTGCGCAGGAAGGAGTGAAGACGGAGAACGACCACATCAACCTGAAAGTGGCCGGTCAAGATGGCTCGGTGGTACAGTTCAAAATCAAGAGGCACACGCCTCTCAGCAAACTCATGAAAGCATACTGTGAACGGCAGGTACGTGCGACTCTTGCTACTCTAGTCCTGTCATGCTGGCAAATTTGTGTTGACCTCACATTCTTTAGTGACTCCTGTCTATGTCCAGGGACTGTCGATTCGTCAGATAAGGTTTAGGTTTGATGGGCAGCCCATAAATGAGACGGACACACCTTCACAGGTTGGTCATACACATCGTTACGTTATGCAATACAATCATCTTGACACGCTTTTCAGTGGGCGTCCATTTACATTATACTCCGATTTTTTTAACTTACTGAGCAGCCAGGACAGAGGAGACTGTCAGAATATGCATCATCACACTTGCCATAAATGCCAGAGAACCCATCTGTTATGTGATAAGGAGAAAGCAAAATTCCAACACTTGTAGAGTCGATGCTTAGGTGTTGAAATGTGACAAGTTGTACACTGACTTGACAGTTTGCGTTGCTATTGTGCAGTTGGAAATGGAGGATGAAGACACTATCGACGTGTTCCAGCAACAGACGGGAGGAAGCTATTCTTAAGTGGAGAGACTCCTCTTCGGGGAATGTGTCCACACCATTGTTTTTCATGTTGTGATTGTTTATTATTGTTTCTTTTTTTTTTTTTCTCCTCATCCCAGCCCAAGCCCCTATTTTGCTGCCAGGCTTTTCACCACAGGCGGATTTTACAGTTCAAGAATTGGGAGGATGATAGGCGGTTTATTGCAAACCAAGACCATTTGTGTGTCAGACGGTAGGCATGCTTATGCGTCTCAATTTTTACAGGAACTTGATGCCAAAATCATTTTTTTAATCATATTTGTCAGGTTGAATTCAGGATATCCCCCTCCATCCCAATTATTTTGACGGTCTCTGGAGCAAAATCTATTTGCATAATTTCACCCCAACCTGATTTGTTGTCTGTTTTGAAGTCGCTATATTTGCCGTGATTTGTATCCACGTTTGCAGAGAGAGATGCGTATGAATGATGTTGGTCTGTGTGTGACGTCTCACTCGGAGCAGATTGAGCCGAAAGCTAAAAATCAGTCAGTCACGTCATGTTACTGGACCAAAAAAAGAAAAAAACTACAAACGCTAAATAAAGTGTTCTTTTTATAAAGTTTTGTGTCTAATGGTCACTGTTCTTTTCTTCAGACCCAGTTAATTTGCTTTCCTTTGGGGCTTGCGGGGGCATAAATATTCCCTTTTAATTAACCACTGAGATTACTCGTATGTTTAGTATTAAATCAGCAGAAGTCTAAAACGCACCTGGCTGAGGAATTTGTCAGCTTCTCAAACAAAAAAGTGCGCTGTAGCCTACGCACCTCGCCTCCGACCGTGGAGACTGCGGTGCAGTACATTTTAGATCCACGAGAGGCCAGCGTTGTCTAATTCCTGATAAACTGAACAGAGCCAGTGCAGACAGCGTAATTGTCATTTTCAACTTTCTTTCACTCCCAGTAAAAACAACGCCGTTTGCTAAAAATTGCCCCAAAAATTTTTTCTTATTCAGGTCGTGGTCAAGAAAAGACCAGCAAACACTCCATCAGGCTAACGGGATGTGCATTGAATTCTAAAGATGGTTACCGCTTGACTTCCTGTGTTTTTCATTTGATTGTCTCATGGAAGCTCACAAAATGTTATGGATGGTTGGCTTTTGCTTGAAATTGCAGGATGAGGCTAAAATACAATGTGACTTTTTTTTTTTTAAATGCATTGCCAATACTTAGGTACTTTATGGACATCTTACTCTTTGATAAGGAGCTAGAGAGCAACATTTGACCATTAAGTTTCCTGCTGCATCACATTTGACCAGAGCCCAAGCTGACTCATTGTTGGGAGGCTTCAAACAGAAGGTGTCCACAGAGCTTAGTTGCCGTCAGGTCGCAAGAGAGAGACTGGACGAGTCGCACAAAGGCCTCCTGGAAAGACTTTTGTCAAGCATGTCCATTTCGCCCATTGGCTCTTATTAAGTAAACAAAATTGTGCAAAATCTCCTAAAACGTGGAATTTTGGATGTCATTCTAATGTGTGCAAATGCTGAAATTGTGGTTGACTTACAAAGGTCACAACGTATTATAAGTTCGTCCTGAAATTTTGCACTAAAGACCCAACATGCCAAACTTTTTATGATATGGAATATGTTTAAGGCCTACAAGATATGACAACCATTGGTAGTCCCGCAATGGGGAAATTTGCCAAGTATCAAAAAGTAATAGACTTTTAACACCAATGCTTCACGTTTTCGCCACTCTGGCCCTGTTGTCGCTCGAACAGAAAAGATGCTTGTGGCTGCTTTCACGGCTTGTTCACTGTACCTTATGTCATGTGACGATGTGCTGACAGCACACAGTTTGTGCATTATTCTGTGCCACAGATGGCTCATTGATAACATGATGAAAAAAAAGGTCCGTCGAGTTCACTATTTGACATTTATCCAAATATGCTGAATTGCCAAAGATGTTTAAAATCTTTATGACACAACTACCAAGTGCATTTAATAAGATACACTTTTGCGGCTCCACACAGGAAGGCCCGGGAGCACGGAATCGAACCCACGACCTCTGCACTGTGAGGAGGACATGCTAACCAGTTGCTCACCGTGCCCCCTGCAACAATCATTTCAATGAAATAATTCATATCGCCCCCCCGTATTTGTGTTTCTAGCAAGTCAAATTGACCCTTGGATTGGCGTTTCGAGCAAGTCATTATCGCGCCTGCCTCTTCATTTCTCTCCTACTCTCAGATTGCATAAGCGGGTGCTTATTATAGTCAAGAAGTTAGGATAATAGACATTGTGGTTCAACCATGATGGACGCAGCAGGACTGAGGGCGCGGGGTGGTGGTCCGCTCTCCATTTCAGGCCCAGCAAATCAAGTTAACATGCAGCACGTTGTGATCATATGAGGTCACTCGCATCCAGCCAACCTCGCACGTGACGCACTTTGGCTGCCTGAATGGAAGCAGTGTGTGTGTGTGTGTGTGTGTGTGTGTGTGTGTGTGTGTGTGTGTGTGTGTGTTTGTTGTGCCCGTAGGGATGACCAGTCTCTCCGCTCGTCTCCACAGCTCCCAATGCTGATGTCACCCTCGCTGTGTCATCCCCACCCTGTCCTCTGATGTGGCAATGATTGTGTTTGCGCTCTCGTCATAAATTGAATCTCAAGTGTTTTTTTCTTTAAGATGCTGAATAACATTTTCTCATCTTGAGGCAGTGGACATTGAATTACTTAAGTATAGTAAACTGACAGATGTATTTATATATGTATGTATATAACTTGAGAATGGGGTGAAGGGAAAAAAATGACATTTCTAATCCAAAGTTCCCCTATAAATTATTTGCCCTTTCTCAGTTTTGTTTTTTGTTTTCTAGTTTGAGGTGTCACAAAAGCAGAAGTATTATCATCAAAGTCACTTTTCTCGATTACATGTTTCTTGATATGAAAACAGAACTTTCTCTGCTTTTTGATCCAAAACCAGTCTTATTGGTGAAACCAATCCACGTTCTACTGCTGATTACAGAGGAAGAGGAAAAAAAAGTAGAAGCAAACTTTTTTTCTGATGGAAAAAAGTCTGCAATTTCTTATGTCATGTTTTGGCTCTCATTCTGTATTTTCACTTAAAACAATATTGTGTGGGTCTTGAAAAATCAGTCCAAAAGTGCTCTAAAACCTCTTCAAACCATACCTTTTGCTTTAAGTTAACCGGTGTAAGCGGCATCAGTCGTAATTCAATGCAACAACTGCCCAGCTGCTTTAAAAGTTTCTACATATAGTATAGAAAGGGAAACATGTTGCTTTAAAGGCCCATCCTTCAAGGGGCCTCTTCCTTTGGGACCCGCAGCAGTAGATGACCTTACGTCACAAAGCAGGTCAGGTGGTGCCCCACCAGATGGCACTGTTTTCCCTTTTGTTTATTTATATATTTAAACCTATTAAAATGAAGTCCAAGCCACAAAAAAAAAAAAAAAAAGTGAATTAGTACATCATTTTAAAAAAATGTACTCTTTTCTGACTCTTAGCTTGCTATTCAACGAGTTGTGGTTACTGAACACCATCATTGGCCCATGGGTTCAAATTTAGCCAAGCAACGTGTAGATGCGTTACTATGACGTAACTCCAGAGGTATATATATATATATAAACTTGCTTGTGGAATTTGGTTGCGTAATTGATTTGCCTTAAGGGATGACTTTGTGGCAAACTCGTATTAAGGAAATTAGTGCTTTTATTACTTTTTTTTAACTAATCTTTATTGAACAAGTCAGTCGTGCTTTTATTACTTCCACTTCATGATCAAGGGCACTTGCGAGTCAGCCCAGTGGGCGTGGCTATAAAAAACGGTGTTTTAATTGGCATTTGGGGCAAAAACGTAGTACCTGTACTCTAGTTCGAGGGAACTTTGCCTAGCTACAAATATTTTGGAACACTCGCGATGCTTGCAACAAATTTGTGGGATCGCTTAACTTTACTTGAAAGAAAGACCGCGCCTCGTAAAATGGCCACTTTGATGGTACGATGTGTTTACGGTAACGTAAGCTACGTGTGCACGTTTGTCTTTGAAATATATAGTAAATAAACACAGGGACTTTCAACGTGGCGAAAGAATATTTATGTCGTCTAAAAACGATAGTGACCCTCCCGGGAGGGGCCAGGGTGCTTTGTTTTCGGGGACTCAATGTACCACAATGCAATAGCAAAATGTCATCTCCTTGGCTACGGCTTTAGTGGAGCTAAAGAAGACGAAGAAGGAGGCTCGGCCCGGTTGAAAGGAGTCATTGTGGTGCGGGATGAGCGGGTGTGTGTAAGTTAGCACGCCCCCTCCTCCTTGACTATCTTCTGAGCAGAGAGGAGGGATTAGTTAATGAGCACACACACATACACACATCACCTCCTCGTCGGGGCTACTCCGCGACGTGGAAACTAAGTGTAAAGCTTGAATCATGCCCCTCGTCATCCTCGCCGACTGGAAGCGTGATCGAAATTGGGCGAAATTCGGATAACAACGAGTGAAGTTTCCAGGTCTGTCTTCCAACTACCACCACCAGCACCTCCGCCGGCCGCCACCCGCCCTCCTCCGCAGTACTCCCGGGAAAATGCGCCCTTACCACGGGCTCCTCCGCTGCCCCCACTCCACACTCCTCGCATGTGCTCGATATGTTGAAGTGAGCACGGGCAAGGAATAGAAACGTTTTTTTTTTTAATATAAACGCGTGTGGATACTTTTTATTTGTAGGTTGAACTAAACAACTGGTTGCTCCAATTCAACATGGGGAACGCAGGGAGCATGGACCAGCACACGGATCTCAGGGGCCACAATATGCCCCTAAAACTACCAATGCCGGATCCGGGGGAGCTGGAGGAAAGATTCGCTATAGTTTTGGTGAGTACAAAAAAAAAGTTTTCAAATGTATGCTTGCTCTTTGTCAATCGTGGGATATAATGGCTCTGCGTATGGGTTGGACTCCTGGTAGTACAACACGCCTGATATCTTTTGTTGTTGCCACAACCTAGTGGGAGACCAACCTAGTAAAGATCCCTGTGTCATGTTGCTTCAGATTATTGGCTTTCCCAAACGTTTTCAGTCACAAAACAGTCGGAAATTTAGCATATATTGTCGTGACAAAATCCCAACAGTGAATAAAAAGCTCCTTTTAGGACCAAACCCAAGTTTGGAAACCCTTAGTGCGGGATTACATATTTCATGAACTCGAAAAACGTCTTTATAGCTAATATCACCCTTTGACTAAGGCGGTGAATCGCAACGGTTTTCCACCAAGTATCACTTAACAAAATACTCGGCTCTCCCAAGTATTGCAATATAAGGTTAAATACAACTGAACTGTATTTAGTGATTCTTTCACATGCCACGCTTTGAGAATCACAGGACAAAGACACGAACAACTAATTATTTCAGCTCAAAGCACTACTTAAAATATCTTTTGAGGAAGGAAGATACCAATTTAGAAAGGCTTTGAGGCTGTCTTTTGTAACGTTGTGAGGTCAGTAGCTGGACCATCTGTCACCTTGTCATAAACGCTGAGCAGAACATGCTGAGTATTGATCTTTCTGAGGGAGAGTCTTGTGTTATGTATATCTAAAACCAAGGCAGACAAGTTAACAACAGTACGTATACTGGCCCAATATAATGGTCCGACACAATAAAAAAGTCAGCTAAAATGCTGCCTCTGCCTTTGAGGACCTCTTGCTTTGTAGGTTTTAGCTAGTGCTAAAAAAATGATTTGGCTGATGCAACCGTGCTCAGTTTTGATCTACAGAGAGATTCTTTGAACCATTAGGCGCATGAATGCTACCCCAGCGCAACTTCTAATAAACGTTTTTTTTTTTTTTAAGTGGGTATGGTTGTGAATTTAGTTGGTAGTAGAATAACAGATTGAAACTCGACTAACTGTAAACGTTATCTGGTAACTACCGAACCATTATGGCCGAAAAACAATTTATTGTCCTTGGAGCCATTTTACATGAAAAAAAAAGTTGAATTATTACCTCTCTGGCAATGTCACCTCAAAGCTGAAAATGATGACCTTATTCAAAGAAGTTACATTTTTAGCTGTAGTTTGCAGTATAAGGTCAAAATAAACAGGTTACCCATTTTTTGATGGGCCACGTGACTTGGATGAACTGTGTACAGTGTTGTTCACTTTGCAAGAAAAGGCGTTTCTTTATTTTCTCAGTGAATAAAACTCAGATTTTTTTTTAATGTGGGATTCAACGGGATTTTGTGGGTAATATTTCCGGCCGTGCCTTTTTTAGCTGCTAAAGATCCCAGAAGATGAAAAGTTGCGGTCGAGCAGCTGGTCTGAAATTTGAGCAGTGCTTCAGAAATATGGGTCAAACGTGACTGTCGCTCGCTTATTGTGCACTCATAAACCTGAGCGGCTCAGCCAGAAAAGGAACTCGAGATGGCGACTTCTTAAGGCTCGTATGATCGGAAAAAAAATAATTTCCTGCTCCATTCATGCGTGATTTCAAATTGGTAGTCGACAAGCCAGTAAGATGATCAGGCGTTTACCCGTGCGGCCTGTTTGGATGGGTCGGCTGCTACCTTCATGATCCCCTTGCTGATTAGACTGACTCGACCTGACAAAGCACACGTTACAGACATAAACACGACTCGAGCGGGTACGCCAGCCATCGGGGTTTGGTTTTTTTCCCCCTGGAAACCTCAACACGAAAATGAGAAAAATGTCTTTGTGTTGGAAAGCGGCTCTCGAAACGATCCGCGTGACCATTGCTTCTTTTCACCCAGTGACAGTTCCCCGCCTTACAAATATGTGGCAAGAAAAACCTTTTGGGTTTTCAAACTTTCACGAACAGCAGACGACGTCAAAGCACGCCTTGTCCGCAACTGTTTCAACCCATCGGCGGTGCTCTGCTGTTCAAAAATCAGTGTGTCCTCATATTTTTGCCCACACCAGAAATGGAGGTGTGCTGTGTGATGCCTCCGCTCTCGATGGCATGGAAGCCCCTGCGGCATTTAGAGGAATTGAGCGCCCTAATCGAAGGCTTTAAGCCTTACGTAGCGTCATTTCCACTGGAATCACGTGTGCCGTGCCTTGATTGCCCGTGCGATGACAATGCCGGCCTTTATCACCGTGAATTGAAATCTAAATGGCTGCTGATTAACCGCCACTGTCACACGACTCATTCCTCAG